TCCCCACTCTTCCCCACTCTTCCCCACTCTTCCCCACTCTTCCCCACTCTTCCCCACTCTTCCCCACTCAATTTTGACCCCTCACGGTCCATTTCCTTTTGCCTTGTATGTAGTTTTTGGTTTGAATAAAGTCCTTTTACTTTTTCCCACATCTGCCTTCACTTCCGTCCGTACCACATCGTGACAAACAAAGTGTATGTCATTACAGGGATTAGGATAATGGACGCTGGCTTTTCGGCACTATACAGATTCATTGTGATACCCAGAAGTTAGTAATCTGTATAAATTTGGCATATCCTTATGCTTATTAAATTTAGTTAGGGGAGCACACCATATGCGACTGTTTTGTTATACTATGGAAGAGATAAGCACTGAAGGCATGGTGAAGAAAGGGACAGCACAGCAGCCATGACATCATTTAAAAAAGGGAGATATTGTAGTTAAACAAGGCAAAATGGTGGTAGTGGTGTGGCAGTACTTTTTGCAGATTCCGGCAAGTTTTTTTGGTAAATATAGTTTAAATTTTTATTTTAGTTCATGAATTATTTATTTAGTGTTTGTTTTCATTTTAGTTTGTAGATTTTTAGATAGTAACACTGGTCCCCACAACGTGCAGGACCTCACACACATTGGTACTGTCAATCAATATAGAATAAGCCCAAATTTTAGCCTAAACATTTTCTCAAACAGTTTTTCAATAGAGATTCTCCAGTAGCAAGCAAACAACTTTATGTGTGAGCTAAGCAGCCACAAGGACTAAAGATATATAAAAAAGCTCTCTGTACTAATGGTAATTTAATAAACATGAATAGACAACACTTAGGGTGGTTTTGCCTACTCTGGCGATCCATCGACCAGAATAGCGCCTGTGTGTTTTCAGGTGCTCGCACATAGTGCTTGTGCCGCTGTGGTATGTTTTCAAAGTCTTGCACAGTGTACCAACCAGCTTTTGTTTTATGATATAATTTGAACTACTCCCATAATAATAATAATTATTATTATAATAATAATAAATATTTTTATAGCCGATAAAGCTCTATCTCCTATTGTAGTAATATTCCAAATGTGTTTCCAATGTACTTCTGTCATGTTACTTCCAATATTTGACAGTATTCCCTGTGACTGACATTCTAAAGTACCTTCAGTCACCTATAACCATGTTTTTGTTTACTTGAGCCAGCAGGTGGTGTAGTGATTGAGTGCAGTGACTGGAGATCACTGGTCCATGTTCCATCTGCTGGCTACATCACTTGAAGGTGTCCAGCTTTATAAATGCATAAAAGTGGAAGCCTCTTTGACTGGGTCAGCTAAACAAGCTAAATGTAACTTTTATATCTAGAGACGCACCAGACTGGCCAGGAACCAGAATCGGATGATTTTCTATTTCAATTACTGATTTCAACATTTCAGGAATTATATTTCTTTGTAGTGATAAATTTTAAATAATATTGTTGCCAAATATCATTACCAAGAGACGGCCTATAGTTCAGATGCAGTAAGTCTTCTAGTGCTTGTGGATTAGAGGGGTCTGAATACTTATTATAGGTTAAATTCTAAAGGAAATTGCTCATTTCCCAGTAGACAGATATTACTGAATCTCCTTAACCACCACACCACCTGCTGTGCCTTAAAGTGGACAATGGATGATACATATCTGAGCTATGCTAAATGTAGCACATGAAGCCGAGCTAAGTAAGGCCATCGACAACCTGATCCTAATAAAGTGTATGACCTGGATGCAGACTGTCCCGCATAAAGCACATGCACCCTTGGGCTAAGTCAGCCATGCGGGTCTGACAGGGTGCAGTCCTCAGAGGTGACTCACCAGTTTGGCGTTGCCGCTGTTGGTGTCCTCCTCGGGCATGGGCGAGAACACGGCCAGCGCAATGCAGTTGGCAAAGATGGCCAACAGGATGATGATCTCAAAGGGCCTGGGGGCTGGGCTCAGGAAAAGGTGTAGGCACAGTACACACATCATCATCGTATTAAAACCAGGATTCGAAGGTTTGAATAAAAAACAACTTTTATAGCCAATATAGCTCTATCTCCTATTGTAGTAATATTCCAAATGTGTTTCCAATGTACTTCTGTCATGTTACTTCCAATATTTGACAGTATTCCCTGTGATTGACTCTAGTAGTAACTAAGTAAAGCGTTAAGCCGTATCTTGGCTCAGGCGGTTGTGGTGTCTGCTTTGCTCTGACCGTGACACCAGCAAGTCTATTAATAATCATACATCCCAGCAAAGTCAATGCCCATGGTAAGTGGTATATAAATTGATTTTGTGGACACAGCTGTTGATGTGCAACTCATTCTTAGCCTCCAGGTACTTTTCCACACTTAATGTCATTCATTCTCTCCTTTGGTGCATTGAGGGTCTTCAAGCTACAATTCCACAGTCAGACGTACTGTCTACCTCTCACCCAGGCTCTTGGCCAATGGAAACCCTCCTCTTTTGCCTAAAACAAGTCCAGTGTGCCATATTGGACTCAGCCGTGATGGTTCTCTGAAAATAAGCACTCGGCTCTGACTCCTGCAGCCTGTTTGTAACGCGACACCCCAAACACATCATCAATCTCCCACCTGCCTCACTCTGAGCGTATGCACATGTCCGCCACTAGAGGGCCCTCTGTAAGAATCCTGCCAGCTCAGCTCAGTGTCTGATTCTAGGCGGTGACACTGGAGAACAGCTGCAGGCCTTCTTAATACAATCAAACCATTTCCATTACCCTATTTCCAAAAATGTATTTTCTGTAAACGGCTTTTATGTAATCTAAAGAATCAGTATCCCAGCTTTCTCTGTTTTGCTCAAGTACCTCACTTAAAAGCAACCTTTATTAATACACTGAAAAAATTCTATTTAAAGAACAATAGGGGTCGTGGGGGGCTGTTCTTTTGGTTAATACAGAGATATTTCTTGAAGGCTCTGAAAACATGTAAAATATGCCAAGTCCATCAGAGAACCAACAACAAACATTTTTCCAAAAACACCAGCATAACTGGTCAGGCTTGAAATTCTTTGGCCATGTATTACTAGATCAATAATATACGTCCCAACTGAAATCACACAAAAGCAACATGTCACCCAACTGGATTAAAAGTAATTGACCAGCAGAAATGTCATAGGGGATTACTATAAAGACTGCCAACTGCGCAGTAGTATTTTTGGGTGGTTCATTCCACAACGAAAATGGAAAGCAGTCCGGTCAGCCACTTATCACTGAGTTAAAGGGCTTTACCCACGGCAATTTTACCAGCATCCTGGAATAGCGTAGCTTTAATCCACAGATAAGCAGTCAAACAGCGAAAAGTAAAGGGCTCACGGCTTAGTAATTGATTGCCTGGCTACAGAGAGCAACAAAGATTGACATTAGATATTTGGCAGAATTTTCAGATTATACATGTGCCTGCAGAGGGATGAACCATCAAACAAGTGGCCTATTAGATTACTACCAAATGGATGGTCCCTTGAAGAACATCTATTTATAGTGTTGCAAATAGACTGATTCTTGATTCTCTTCTCTCTATGTGTTGTGTTGCTCCTGTAAGATGCCTTCAAACAGAAATGGCTGCGGAGCAACTGTGCCACACAACATCACTCAATTTTCCTGAAATTTAATTTCCATATCAATTGAAAGTATTTCTGTTCTTTTTTTCTATGTTTATTAAGAACTGAAAGCCTGATGAAGACCCTAAGCTTGGATCGTGAGGATCTTTTCCGCCCGTGCGCTATAAGTGGTATGTGGAGCATGTGACATTACATTACATCTGGCCTAATTCTCTCTGCACTCTATAACTCGTGTTACTGAGCTACAGTATATGGCCATCCTGCTGAGCCAAGCAGAGGGATCAGACATAAGAGCCAGAGGCAATGCAATGGTCTCCCTCCGACATGCTCAGTCTGCTTCTGCCATACCGTTACTGTGTGTGTGTATGTCTCAGGCCCAGGAAAGGATACTTCCACTCCACGATGCTGATGCACTTCCTGCGAAAGCGGTTCTTCAGTGTCAGGCAGAAGAGTGACCGGGGCGGCCGGGGGTTCCCTCCTGTGGCCTGCAGCTTCTTTAGTTTCTCCCGCTGCTTCCTCTTCAGTTCCTCCTCATCCAGAAGGTAGGAGGTCAGAGGCACCTCTTTATTGCCTTCCATGTTGACCAGTGTGTGTTTCAAGCCAAAGGAACAACAGAGATGACCTCCCCACACTGTATTCCACCAGGGCGGCGCTGGCAGGTCTCCCTGTGTTCAGCCTGGTCCTGGTGGGCCACGGCTCCTCGTTCTGCCGCTGCTGTTCTCCTCTCGCTCCTACCCTCTCCTCGGAGTTGGGCTTCCTGGGTGGGAGTGCCCCACACACAGAGAAAGGCCCCATCACTGGCCAGCGGGAGGAGCTGCCGGCCCCAGCAGGTTTAAATATAGACTGGGCAGCTGTCCTTCCTTGGGGTAGGCGAGGGAGGTAGGGGGGGCAGCAGGCAAGAGTGGGATACGAGGGTCTGAGGAACAGGAGAGGAGACATGCAGCTGTCATCTCCACCTTTACATCCCCCCGAAACTCCATCTCTACATTGAAGGGGTTACCTGTGAAGGGGGGAATGGTGATGGTGAAATGCGAAAGGAAGGTGCATCTTCAACATGGAGGCAAATGCAAAATCCGAACAGACTCAGCAACTCCAGCAGCTTGCACCAAAGAAAAACGCTGTGTCCGTTGTTTGGCCACATTGTGGCTTTAGTGAAGATGACACCAAACAAAAAGAGGTTAAATGTAAACACTGTGGAATAGTCTGCTTATATGGATCAAAAAGCTTGGGACAGAATCATTCCTGTACAAATACTGTTTAAATAATTCTCTTATAGTATTCAAGTCATTCAGTGTTCATTTTGGATCTTTTTATACATAACAAAATATGGAAAACTTAAAACTACGGTAATATTTCTTTTTTTATTGTCTACTTTGCCTTTCGGTAACCCATCTGCTGGCTAGCTACCTGAGGCTATAGTGCTGCGTGCACAGAAAACATGACAGGAAAAGGAAAGTCGTTTTCTCTTAATTCCGAATATAGACTCATCAAAGTTTATGACAAACTGCCAAAAACAAGCCAACAAGATGCAGCAGAGAAACTATCATGTTATATTTTATGTACAGTACTGTACTGTATTATAGCATATGTGAATTATACGGTTAAGCAATTTAATCTGTACAGTACTGTATTTTAAAAAACATTTGAAAAAGATATACTGTACTGAACGAGTCAATAACATTCATGAAATAGCGCTGCTGTCTGCTTTGTTACCGTATAGTCTGTAATAAATATACAAATGTCAATTAGATGGTAATCTGCCTGATACATAAAGAAATAAACGGTAATAATTATCATCAGCTTATAATGACCAATTTCACCCAGACAGACGTGATCATTATAAATGGTTTATTTTGTTTGCATACTGTAATCCGTTGTATTTGTGCCGTGTGCAATGCTCAATCGCATGGTGGCTGTGGCTCACTACTGCCGAATACTGATGGTCAAAACAGCTCTTCATGAACCATTTGCTGTATTTTCTGAGCCCACTAGATGGTGCTCTCTGTTCAAAAAAAGGCTCAACCCATGCTCTAAAATAAACCAAGAGCACCATCTAATGGGGTCAGCAAATACAGCAATTAATACATGAACGCGGTTTTGGCATCATTACTCCCGACTCTCAATAACTGACATGTCTGGCACATTCGGGTGAAGCGGTTACTAGGCTATTCTCGTGGGACTCATAAGACCCATAGAAGAAGTTTATGATTAAGTGAGACGACTTACATAGAGTGGGAGGATCCTGCACAGAGAGTGGGAAAGGTCTGAGCAGAGCTTACACTCACAGAGCAGACAGTAGGCCTCCACGTCCGGCATGGGCTCCGCTATGTGCAGGCAGGTACTGAGAGTGACAAATAATTATTGTGTTATTATTATTTCTCATTTAAAAGGCATATAATTACATTATGGGCCACTGGTATCACTGTTATTATTATTTAATTAATTTTGTTTGGTGTATGTTATCAAGTTTTGGTGTCGGCATTCTCCTAAACCTATTTTTCCCACTGGATATCTGTATTTTAATATGCAATTTTAGTGAACATGAGGTTTTCCAGGAATTAATTAGTTGTGGCAGGACTGACTTGTAAAACACTGTACATTGCAATAATGCACTCAACAACACATTCAAGTCAAAAAACATCAATAAATGGGGAAAGGCATTGCTTTTTGTGTTAATTGCATTTCAGAATCAGCAATACACCTTATTGCAATGTCTCTCACAGATATCAGTAATTCCACAATGTCATTTTGTTCAACTAACATAACTAGCATAGCAACATGTGGTAAAAATCATACAGGACAGGGATGGTTGTCAACTTGCATGTCTGCAGACTTGCTGTAAAATTATTTTTAAAACTTTCTTACATCATATCCTTTCACGATGGGACTATAAATTCCAAGACATAGGAGTCTGTACAGAACTCATCAAAACTGAGCTCTTTCGTGTCCTCTTTAATATTAAACATACAGTACCCACTTAATAAATATTATGTATTACTAATATCTATAAATTACATTATTTTATGTGATACAAATCATTTCTTAGTACTCTTTTTTGTCATGACCTGCGCATACAATCCTTATGTGTGCCACGCCCCCTGATCAACCACGTGTGCTCCCTTGATTGTGCCCACCTGTTTTCCATCAGTCTGATATGTTCTGTGTATTTAGTTCACGTCTGAGTCCGTTTCCCCCAGATCCGTCATTAACCCTTCCGCATCCTTTTTACTGTTAAATCACTATGAAAGCATTTACTTTTCCTGCCATTCATTTCTTTAGGTTAA